CAAGGGTCTCATGCCTCAGGTCTGTGATCTGGCCGCTGTCAAGAGCTGGGGAAATCCAGACACCTAGGCCTACTAGGAAGTGGCCATGCCAGCTTCTGCTAAGGGCTAAGCAATATCAACTTTTCATCTACACAAGGGCTCTGACAGCTGTAGAACCAAGGAGTTCAGCTACCCTTCTTTTGTGATGGCTCTAACACTAGAGGGTGCTGTCTGATGCTGATTCCTCCTGCCGGTGGCCGCCGGTGGCTGCCACTCACTGCCATCAAGGTCTACCAGAATACAAAAAGCTGCCAAAAATTGGCATTTGAGATTTCTAGTTGGATAGAATAAAAAGCCTAGTTGGCCAAATGGCTGCAGATCGGAAAGTGTAAATGAAATGTACAAGACCGGAATTTCAAGATGTGGTCATTTAAATAAGAATGGTTCCGTGGAGTGGCTTACCAAGAACTGGCCCAACTTGAGGCCCACACCATGAGAAGGGCCCTATGCCTAGTGCTGCCTGGATGGCTGGGAACCAGGGGTCGGTAACCCAGATACCCAGGACAGAGCCAAACACAACTACGAAAAAAAATCAATGAAATGATTCCCAACAATATCTGCTATACTCATAGATGGGCGCCTAGCCTAATTGTCATCAGAGAGGTGTCATCCAGCAACTGACTGGAGCAGGTGCAGACACCCAAAGTCAAATACCAGGAAGAACCAGAGGAGGTTGGGGTGGGGGTTTCAGGAGCCAAAGGGATCAAGGACACCACAAGTATACAACCCACAGAATCAACTAAGCAGGGCTCCTAGAAGTTCACAGAGACTGCAGTGACAACCACAGACCTTATATGGGTCTGAGCTAGATCCTCTACATATATGTTATGGTGGTATAGCTTGGTGTTCTTGTGGGACTTCTAATAGCTGGAGTGTGTGTGTGGGGGGGCTGTCTCTAACTCTTTTGTCTGCCCTTAGGACCTTTTCCTCTTACTGGGTTGCCTCATCCAGCTTTGATATGAGGGTTTGTGCCTAGTCTTAGTGTAACTTGTTACGCCATATTTGTTTGGTGTCCCAGGGAGGCCTGCTCTTTTTGTTTTTATGAAGGGAAATGGAAGAGGAGTAGCTCCAGGGGATAAGCGAGGTAGGGAGGAAAGGACTGGGAGGAGTGGGGGGAAGCAGATGTAATATATGAGAGAAGAATAAGAGAAAAAGAAAAGAAGAAACGATATAAACCATTTTCTTAATGGAAGAATTCTAGAAAAACAAACAACCCAAAGAATGGCTCCCATAGGCACATATATTTGAATTCTTAGTCATCAGGGAATGGTACTGCTTGAGAAGGGTTTGGAGGTGTGGTTTTGTTGGAGTGGGTGTGGCTTTCTGGAGGAAGTGTCTCAGTGGGGGTGGGTCTGAGGTTTAAAAAGGCCAATCCAAGTCCAGTGTCACTCTCTCTTTCTATGGCTGTAGATCTGGGTGTAGAATTCTCAGCTACTTCTCCAATACCATGTCTGCCTGTGTGTTTCCATGTTCCCCACCATGATGGTCATGGGCTAAGCCTCTGAAACTATAAGCAAGCTCCTAATCAAATGCTTTCTTTTATAAGAGTTTCCTTGGATGTCGTAGGTCTTCACAGAAATACAACAATGAATAAGACACAAAACAAAACAAAACTAAACGAAAAGCCCAGAGGCTAGGGATTTAGCTCAGTTTGCAGAGTGCTTGCCAGCATGAGCCCTGGGGTCAGTCCCCAGCACTGTAAAAACTGGGAACATGCCTATAATCTCAGAACCTCAGAGACAGAGGCAGGAGGATTAGTTCAAGGTTTTCCTTAGTTACTTGGCTCTGAGGTTCTCTGCACCACCACAGCCAACAGAAACGATCTGAGGGAAGCGAGAAGGTAGTTTGATTCAAAATGACCAAGTGGCTGGAGTTAGTTCAAATTTCAGGACTCTGACCCCAAGTAGCTTTTGTCATATTTAAGCACAACACAATTTGGAGAAAACTTTCTAGGTAATAATTAACTTAACCCCAGGTACACAATAAAGTTTAAGATGTGACTACATCAAAACTCTTTGTAAAATACTTATGACATGTTCCATAAAGGTGGACTCTGTAGATTGAAAAGCTTGTAATAAGGGTCTTGGGGGATGATTCAGAGTGGGCTTGGTCACATTGATAAAGCAAAGATCACAAGGCTGTCAACCTCGTCTGTTCCCCGCCTTCTGGGTGGATAGCAGTTTACACCCTTGCTTTGAAGAAACAACGCTATGTGCTTAGCAATCCTGGTTTGTCTATCTGTGAGCACAAGGACCTCCATGCTTCCCACATCCCACACATGGCAAGTTACAGGCCAGCCTAGGCTACATGGTAACTTAACCACTGTCTCAGATGAGTTTTCAATGAAAGAAAAGTTTTGTTGGTTTTCTTTGTTTGGCATTTGGACAGGGTTTCTCTGTGTCGTCCTGGCTTGTCATGGAATGCACCCTGTAGACCAGGTTGCCTTCTGAATTTTGGGATTAAAGGTGTCCACCACTGCCTGACAACCCCACCACCACCACAAAAGCTTTTTGAGTTGAGAAAAAATCCATTTACAAATTAACTTTAGAGGATAACTGTCAATTTTGTAAAAACTTATTAAAATGGCGTTTTCAACATCTGACTAAGCTCTGAAGTTAATCAAAGGCTTAAACATAAAAAAAATGAAGTGAGACAGTCCTAGAATTATTTTCTTGTTCTAATGCACATGCTTTTAAAATCCTCTACTATGGGCTGAAAAGGTGGCTCCACGGTTAAGACACAGACTGCTCTCGCAGAAGACCTGAACTCATTTCTGAGTACTCGTGTTAGGTGGCTCATGACTGCCTGTGACTCCAGTACCAGGAGGATCCAGTCAGTGCCTCTGCCCTGACTGGCACCTATATTCACAGGCACATACCCCCATCCCATACACACATAATAAAATAACAAATATAAAGTCATCCTCGGTGGCTGGAAAGATGGCTCGGTAGGGAAAGGTGTTTGCCACCTAACCTGACCACCTGAGTCTGACCCCCAGAGTCTATGGGTGGAATAAACCTGCACCCGAGAGCTGCTAATGGGCACAGGGCACCACACATCCAGTCTTGTACACATCACTGGCAACATTGTGTCCTCGCCAGCTGGTTTCTAGAGGTATAAAGATAGGCTATCCAAGACCCAATCGATCAGCAGCCGTGAGATTCTAGAAGCATCTTTTTTCAGGAAGCCTCTCAGGAAGCAGAAGGTAGCGAGTGCCCTCTGCTGGGCATCCTTAAGTACAGGCAGCCTGGCTCTTAATTTCAGTGTCCTATGGAGGGTCTGGTGCAAGCTGACCAGGACCAATGTTGACTCAAATGCATGCTTTGTGGGCTGAGTGTGAGGCAGAGTGAGCCTGTGGGGGGGGGGGGGGGGGGGGGGGGGGGGGGGGGGGGGGGGGGGGGGGGGGGGGGGGAGGGAGGGAGAGTGGATGAACACTTGGAGCAGCAAAGTGGGTGCAGGGGAGTGCTGAGATGGCATTTGTGGATCGGTGTCTAATCAGATGGAGGCCGGTTGTCCCCTTGTAAGCACAACAGTGAAAGGCTAGAATGGCATTTACAGAATCAAAGAGGCTCCATTCTTGAAGGCAAACTGATGAGAAGGCTTGATCTGAAGTGGCAATACATTATTTGTGTGTGTGTGTGTGTGTGTGTGTGTGTGTGTGTGTGTGTAGGCTCTTTGGGTGTCGAGCTAAGTTTCAAATGTTTGGTTGGGGAACAGTCATTTAATTAATGATCAGCTTTGATCAATGGTAATAAACAACCATAGGCAAGAAGGAGAAGTATAAGCTTCCCTTCCAACAGCAGCCATCAATCCCCAATACCTCCTCCATGAGAGGTGGGATTTTTTGAGCATCTACAGGAAGGAGAATTTCTAATAAGGGTCCAGCCCAGGGGCTTTTAGCGCTGTCTACCCTCTCCCAGGATTCCTTCCTGGACTTTATGTGTGTGTGTGTTTTTTTTTAACATTTGTTGGCGATGGTGGGCTTGTGTTGTGCATGGAGATCAGAAGTGCCACAGAGGATGTCATGCAGGACAGCCTTGCCTACAGGGGAAGATCTCAGACTTACAAACAGGCTTCTGGTCATCCATGTAAGGGAAAACCTTGCCCTGAATCTAGGACTTACACAATGCATGTTCACACAGTTTTAACATGTAGTAATTCCAGGATTATATCTAACCGGGATAGAAAGACTATCCTGGGTTTCACTCAGAACTTTTGTCAAAAGCGTTCAACAAGCCGGGCGATGGTGGCGCACGCCTTTAATCCCAGCACTCGGGAGGCAGAGGCAGGCGGATCTCTGTGAGTTCGAGACCAGCCTGGTCTACAGAGCTAGTGCCAGGACAGGCTCCAAAGCCACAGAGAAACCCTGTCTCGAAAAACCAAAAAAAAAAAAAAAAAAAAAAAAAAAGCGTTCAACATTTTAGGTCACACTTTTGTGATTTTAGGAAAAGGCAACAACTCTGTGTGGCTGTGACATTCAATGTGTAGTATTTCTATTATAATTATATTCATGTTTCCTTAAAAATGTATAATTTGTGGCTCTCTAGGCAGTGATATGGCGAGGCTAGAATGATGCAGGTGCAAAGGCTAATTATCTTATTTTGGCCTAGCTTTAGAATCCAAATAACCATTCGACATCTTTGTCAGAACTAACATCCTGCGCCAACAGATTCAACACCCTTTGGTATCTAGCACCTGGCCACTAGCTCCCACCAACCCCAAAGCCCAGAACATTATCAGATAGCATCTATCGCCCCCCCCCCCCCATCTTGCTGTAGTCACCACCAATGTATTTTAAACTTGCTTTGATTTGATTTAGGACTTTGCTCTGTAAAACTATGAAACGGCGTCCACTTTGGAACATGGAATTGAAGTAACCTAAATCTGTGCTCCTGGGTATGAGCAGTCTAGTTTGGGTCCAGAATAAACTATCTCCTCTTCCCTTTAAGGTGAGAGTTGTTTCCTTGTGAGGACAGTAGGTAGTTGGGAACTTCATGCTAAGGACAAAGTGGTTATTGTATTATTTGCACTGGTGGTTGAACCCAGAGGGACAGACAAGCATTGTACCACAAAGCTACATCTCCATCCGCAGCTTCCAGAACAGCTGCCACGAAAGCCCAGCCGGCTCGCATAACATTACGTAACATTTATTTTTAAAGTGGACCGCGGTTCCTCCAGCCTGTGACGCACTGAACTGGCACAGTTCACCTGCTGGCACCTGCAACTTCACCAAGACCACAAGCTGGGGCGGCCTTTCTCGGAGGGGGGGGCTGTCCAGGTCCCCGGGAATAACGTCCGCGGGCGTCAGACCCCACCGACAGACCCTGAGCAAGGGCTTGAGCCCCAGTGGACAAAGGGGAACAGCAGAGGCTAAGCGGGGCACCCCCGAAAGGGAGGGCAACCCTGGAGGGGCGGGACTGGTCGGTGACGCACTTCCGGTCGCGCCGCGGACCGTGCTGTGCAGGTGAGTGCGGCGTCGCTGCGGTCAGCGCTGTCCTGGCGGTCCACGCGCAGGGTCTCCCGCAGCCAGCCTTGCAGCCCAGCAGCTCTCGGCGCCCGCCGTGGCGAGTCCCGTGTCGCGGCCGCACACCAAGCCCGGAGCGCTTAGCAGGTGGCCGGCCGGAGAAGCTGTCACTGCAGCCAGAGGGTGACCGCGTTGTGGGGGCGAAGCGTCTCGAGGTGACATCGCCCGTCTTCGGACGCGCTGCGGCCCTGCAGGCGCTCCAGGTGTGTACGTCGTGTGCCCCGGCAGCGGACAGGGCGAGGGGCTCAGGGCACGGCAGGGAAAGCAGGACCCCGTCCCAGCCGCTGCTGACAGAAGGTTTGAGGCCTGGTGTGCTTCATGGACCCCACACACGCACACACGATTACGACAGCGCTAGAATACACACAGAGGAGTTTCAGAATTGCAATTTTATACCCCGTAGAAGACAGTACGGCCTTTGGATGGATGCAGGTCTCTTTGGTCGTAGCCTTACCGTTGTCAAAACACTATTTTCCCAAGGGTCTGTGTGTATATGTGTGTGTGTGTGCGTGTGTGTGTGTGTGTGTTAGAGAGAGAAAAAGGGTGAGTGTTTTAAGAAAAAATAAAACGCTCAGCTATGAGCAGTCAATTAAGAAAGAGTTTGGGTCTTTACTGCTGCGTCCATCAGGACCCTCACACGCTTAGAGGTAAGGACTTAATCACAGCCTGTTGCTAATATTCACTAATGTGTAAACAATTTAACCGTTTTTGGTTTTTGAGCATCTTAGTGTATAGTCACCTGGTACTCGGTTAATTTCTAAATTCACTAGCGTATTACCTGCTGGGTAACATTCAGTTATAGTAACAACCCGCAAACTTGTAATTTTCAATGGTTAGGGAAGGTTGTTTTCAGACTGGTTATGTATGAAAAAGAGTACTCATGGAGAATATTTTGTCCATGTCTCCTACATCTGAGAATAGTCATAGGGATACATTTTAAGTTGTTTTTCTTTGAGAATTTCATACGCGTTTACAATGCATTTTGTTCATTTTCACTCCTGATCTTACCATCTTCTGGACACCCCTGTAGCATACATTTTTAAAATTAGATGTGAATATTGAATTTTTTAAACACCATAGTATCGAGATCAACCATGTATTAATAGAGTTGACTTGTTATCTTCAAGTTGAATTACGTATTTTTCATTGTAAAGTAAGTTTTTTTTTCTAAATACAAAAGGATGTTAGGAAAAGATAGACACTGATACCATGCACACACACACAAAAACAAAACTCTAAAAAAAACTGTAAAGATGAGGTGATGGATCTGGTCATTTAAACATACAATATTAAAACTGGAGTTTATTGGGGGGAAAGTGTGAGCAGCACCAATATATTCTAAATAATTATTACATCAGAGACAAATCAGAGTTACTGAGCTCTAAAATAAAAATTAAAACGTGCATCGTGAGAACCACTGAGCCCTTGGTTGAGTAGGGAGGCTTTCCTAGGCTGAATTAGTTTATTAATTAATAAACCAATACAAGGTTGCCTTATCAGGCTTGGCCCTCACCAGGTTCTGTCTTGCAGAGTCTCTGAGGAGCCTTGGAATCTCAAGGATGCCCTTCTAGGGCTGATGGGAAAAGCACTTACTTGTCAAGTTCTGTCCCCTGTCGGTCAGGGGCAGCCTCACTGATGATTCCTTGCCTGCAGTTCAGGACCCAGCAGGGGACTCACTCAGAATGTGGGAGAAACCCTAGGGCAGGAATGGGGCATATATGCTACTGCTCCTGGTGTAAGTTGGTTACAGCATTGTGAAGCTGGTCTCTGCCCAGGAGAACTGCAGAAAGCCTCCATTTGGCATATCTGTGATGCAAAAGTGGACAGTTCAGATTGAGACCTGAGAGGCAGCCTGCTACCTCACTTCTAGCCCAGCTTTCTCAAGGGTAACTTAGGCCATGCAGGAAGCCAGCCCGCTGAGACCTGCCTGCACAAAATCCTTAGCCCAGGCTGGCCTCGATCTGATATCCCTGCCTCTAGCTCCTGTGTGCTGGGATTCTGGGTGTGCACCATCGCTTCTGGCAAGTGTTAGACACTAAAGAATGAGGGCACTGATTGATGGGATGTAGAGGAGCAGCTGTCCCCCCTTCTGGGCGGTGTCTTCCTGCAGCCTGTCTCCCAGACCCCGCATGCATGCTGTACGCAGCTGGCCTTTTCTTACCTGTGATTGTGAATGATGGTTGGTTACGGAAGGAGAAGTGAGTTAGACTTGATAATATTGTTTCTTGAGCCTTATTGTCAGTTCCTGGCCTTGTTGGTCTTCAGATTCTGCCTAAGTTTGTAAACCCTCTTTTATCTGAGGCTTCTTGGCAGCCAACTTCAGAGCATCGGTGTCCTGGGAAGGATGCTAGGCACTTGAGCCAGCAAGAGGATCTGGATACAGCACCCTGTACCTCAGGTCTTAGTTGTGCTCCTGGCTGGGGTGGTTTGCCCCACATCCCACCCCAACTTTCTGCTTCTCCTCAGCTCCAGCCCTTGAGAGGGAGACCAGGTGATGGCAACCATGATCCCATTGGTTTGGCCCCAGGTGAGCTGTGGGCCCCTCATCCCTTCCTCTGGGCAGTTCAGATTGAGAACTGAGAAGAATGCTGGTGAGACTTGGAATAAAACCTGCTTCTGCGTGCTAGACTGGATCTTGTGGGAAAGGTGGACAGGCAAGTAGCAGAGACTGGGGCAGCGACCAAGGAAGAGTGCAGGAAAGTAAACCTAGCAGATGGGAGTCACTGCACGTGCGCACGCTGGCGGAGGCCATGGAAACCACCACGTGCTGCTCTGTGCATGAATATGCATGGAGGAGTTGCAGAGGTTTGGGGTAATTAATAGCTGGGGTGGAAGAAGAACAGCTTGCTGCAGGTGAATGGGAAGGATAGGGAAGATGCTGGAAAGTGGGAACAAGAAAGAAAAAGACAGGGGACCTGGGGGCCCTTGGCTGGGGATTGTCTATCCTGGGAGTCAGGTGGCAAATGGGACAGAAGCCCTTTGTTGGGCGGGGGACATCTGTTTTACCATATGAGGATGAGGATAATGAGTGGGGCTGGGACTTGAGGTAAGCCACAGGGGAGCCAGGACCTCGCAGGGGAGCAGTGGGAGCTGCAGCTGCCTCCAGCAGCCTGCCAAGAGGAGGCGGCCTGAGAACAGCATTGCTGTGGTGGAATTTGCTCATGGGAATTCTTTTTCTTTCAGCCCCGTGTGAAAACGGCATGCGGTTTCTCTGCTATAAGAGAAGGCGGATATTCCCTAGTTTACTTCCTGGAGTTTCCCCTCCACTTTCCTTTGTTACTAATTTTATTCTCTTCACAAGCCCCCTCCCCAAGCCCTTATTTTGCCCTCTGCCCCTCACTGAGGGCCTGAGCCATGGAATTGGCCCTAGGGCAGCAAGAACCTGTTGTTTCAGAAGTTGGTGACCTTTGAGGATGTGGCTGTGTACTTCACCCGGATGGAATGGGATAGTCTGTCCCCTGAACAGAGGGCGCTCTACAGGGATGTTATGCTGGAGAACTATAGGAACTTGGCCTCCATGGGTAAGGCCTCTTTCTCTGGGACCCAGACTGCCATTTTGGGATTCCTGGCTCTTTTCTTCCTCAGGTGGCAGGTGGGGACCTGGTCATCCTTTATGAGTGGGCTTTTCCTAATCTCCTTATGTATAGCCTGCTGGAAGAGCAAATCCCAAGCCATTATGGGACTTTGCTGAGACCAGTGCATGCTTTTGAATTACTGTAAAGAACCTGTGCATGGACATGCGAAAACTAGAAACTGCTGTTCTGCAGAGGCCTCCTCAGATTGCCCTGGCCTTGCATATCTTGAGTCTTTTCAAAGAATCTCAAGGCCAAAATCAAGAAGGGGTATCCCCTTTGGGCAGACTCTCAGTTTTCTCTGCATGTGGACCCTGGCTGACAGTCTGACCCTTCTCACCCCTACCCCCTCCCTTCTGAGAGATCTCACCTTCCTCCCCTTTGCTCAAGCATCTCAGGAGACATTAGGGATGCACCTGTGGGAGAGTTTTCACGTCTCTTCTGTTTTTTTTTTTTTTTTTTTTTTAACCCCTAAATCAGGATTTCTACTATTCAAACCTGCTGTGATCTCACAGCTAGAAGAGGAAAAGGATCTGGAGAACCTGTCCCAGCTGGCCACTGGAGCAGACTCCCAGGGCCTCTGGACTGGTAAGCAAGGCACAGATTGCCCAACAACATATATGTGTGCCACATTATCCATTATGGCAATGCATTTTTTTCTCAGCTGCCATAGTCTACCTCTGACCTCACCATTTTCAAACAAGACCGTGGATTTGGTGATGAGGGCAGGGATCTAGCATTGCCACTGAAAGTGGAGGATGTAGCCTTTGCAGCATTTTACAAAGAGGCAGAAGTTTTTCCTGAGGTCTCATCCCACCTGTGTTTGTGAGGAAACTTTCTTTCTAGTTCCATGGCTGAGCAGGTCGGTTGTTTGACGTCGCTACAGTCTAGTGACCTCGTCTCTGAAAATGTGATAGTGAAAGGGGGCAGTGGTGTCTGCCACTCAGTGGCTCAGGACTAAACGTGGTAACAGATATCAAGGGTCTGGCTTAGTTAAATTATAATTATCTATACATCGAGAGTATAAATAAAAATGTCCCCATTCTATACTTCTTGAGTTTTGATGTGTAAGCGATTATTTGGGGTTCTTACAATTACAGACTGTCGGTAGGTCTTGGGCTCAGCCAAGTGTCTGCATTTATATTCATACTATGAGGTCCTTAATCAAAGGTGCTTGGTTCTCACACTGTAGGCAGTGATTAGTCTCATTTGTCTGGATGAAAATGAGACAGTTTCTGGGTGGGCAGAGGGAGAAGATGGAGGGTGAGGACTCTGGTGGCAGCTAAACTTTAAAACACAAATCAAAGCTTTTCTCATATCAACCCAATGATTTCTGTAGAAGTCTTAACTTGCTGGACCTTAGATCTTTTCTGTAAGTGAAGCTGGAAAATACGATTTTGGTGGGCAGATCAGTACTTCAAAAAATTAAATTGAAGGTATATTGGTAAAGATAAAATAATCACTGGATACTAATATCTGCTATACTGTAGGATTTGAAAGGTCACTAATAAAAGTTGGAAAAGAACTAATAATGAGTTGTTGATATACATAAAATGTACAGATGTAGCTGGGCAGTGGTGGCACACATCTTTAATCCCAGAACTAGGAGGCAGAAGCAGGCAGATCTCTGAGTTCAAGGCCAGCCTGGTCTACAGAGCAAGTTCCAGAACATTCAGGGCTACACAAAGAAACCCTGTCTTGAAAAACAAAGAAAAAAAAAGCAAAAAAACAAACCAACCAAACAAAAACCGAAAGAAAAAAGAAAAATGGTACAAATTGTTAATTTAAAAAGCATTTGTCCTCAGTAGAAAGCAAAGACAAACACATCACAATAATGAAAGAAGGTTGGGAATGCAGTGCAGCAGAGCATTCTTAGAATGTTCTTCACAATGGGAAAGTCATAATAGTGAGAGGTGACTCACCTGTCAGGGAGCCTAGTTCTATCAATGTCAGTGAGGAAGCGAAACAGGGATATGACATTTGGAGCTGGAGTGGATTTAGTGTGAACTGGGAGTCTTTATAGAAGAGAAGTTGGCACTTGATAACCTGGATATTGTTTTCTAGAGGTAGACTTGAAAAGTAGTCAGACTATACTCATAGATACCTTGATGTACTTGAGTATCACGGCCGTGGGAACAATCTCAGTTTTCAGGATAGAGAGCGTTACTAAGTTGAGGTACTTCTGCAGGCAGAAAGAGTACTTAGTAATTTAGCTATTAGATTTTTGCAGTCTTTAACTGAATTTTTTAAGTTTCTAGTACTACAGGTGTCTTCGTCGGATTGAACTATTGGAACAGAACACCATAGATTGGGTGATCTATAAACAATGTAATGTGTGTCTTCTGTATGGCTTAGCTTGGGCTGCTATAGCAGAATACCGTGGGCGGTTTATAAAAACATGAATCCATTCTTCCAATTTAGGAGTTGGACATTCAAGAAGATCAAGGTGCAGGCAGATTCTGTCTAACAAAGACTTGTTTCCTAATTAATAGACATCTGTCTGTTCTTGCTGTGTCTTCACATGGTGGAAGGAGGAGAAATTCACCAGGTCTCCTCCAGCACAGCGGCCCCATCTGAGGGCTCCGCGGAAGGTGCTCCCTCCTAATAACAATCACTTGTTTGAAGTCAGGGATTTTACAGGTGGATGCTAGGGATGGACAACAACAAACTTTGATCTATAGCAACAGATACACGTGTTTTTAATTTTGAAAAGGCTCATATTGTTTTAAAGTCCTTTCTAAAGGAACTCAGGTTTCTTGTGTTGTTGAGCATAATTATAATGAAGTATTAAGGCAAGGGTATAGTTTATATTATTTTATTTTTATTTACTCTTCTCTCATATAATACATCCTGACCACAGCCTCCCCTCCCTCCACTTCTCTCTCCTCCAACCCCCTCTCTACCCCAGATCCAATGCTCCTCCATTTCTCTTCAGAAAAGAGCAGGCAGGCGAACATGGCATAACAAGATGCAATACAACTAGATACAAACTCTTATAAGAAGGCTGGATGAGGCAACACAGGAGGAAAGAGTCCCAAAGGCAGACAAGAGTCAGAGACACCCTTACAGCCACTGTTAGGAGTCCCACAAAAACCACAACTACGAGCCCTGCTTAGTTGATTCTGTGGGCTATGCTCTGCTGGTGTCCTTGATCCCTCTGGCTTCTACAACCCTTCTTCCTGCTCTTCCTTGGGGTTCCAGAATATCATTAGGAATCATTTCATTGACTTTTGGGGGAGTACAGTAGTGTTTGGTTCTCTCCAGGTCTCTGAGCTGGGGGTAGGGCAGTCTTGTGTGGTTCTCTCCAGGTGTCTGAGCCATCCAGCTTCCAGTTCCTGGCCATCTTGTTGGGTGTGGGCTCCCTCTCTTGGCTTGGGCCTCAAGTTAGACCAGTCTTTGACTGTCCACTCCCTAAATTCTGAGACATCATTGCTTTAGCACATCTTGCAGGCAGGACAGGTGTGGGTAGAAGGTTTTGTGGCTGGGTTGGTGTCCCAGTCCTACCGCTGGGATCCCTGCCTGGCTACAGAAGATGGGAGGACATTATTTTATGTGTTTGGAAAAAATGAGAAATGAAAAAATAAAGAAAACTTTTTGGGGGGAGAAATGGAGAGGTCATTATTGTAAAAATTGTGGTTATATACAAAAGAATGTTTTTGGATTGATGGAAGGAAAAGTTTGTGTAGCGGAATTTTAGAAGAGATGGGAGGAGATGTCAAGTAGGTCTTAGAGCTTTTCTGAAGCAGAGATAAACATGAACGAACAGGCTCGAGTGAAGTTCTGCGGAGAAAACCCAGCTCTTGCACCTTCTCTGTTGATGCCTGTCAAACCTGGTCTTCCTGTGGTCCTCTGCCTTTTCTTCAGTGATTATTTTGCTTTTATTAATAAGGAACTTGGTCCATAGGGACAACCAAGAAGGAACTCTAGAATGTAGGAAAGCATGAGACAATGGAAAAATACTGTCTGATAGACAAGACCTAGAATTTTCTTCCTTTGCTATCACTTTTAACATTTCTGCTATTGATGTTGCCTTTTGTAGTGGCCTTGCCTTAGGAGAATATGGCTGGGGATGATTTTCGATTGACATGGTCTCATGTAGCTGAACTTTTCCCAAAGTTTCCCGACAGAGATAAATGTTCTTGTCTACTCTTCTCATTTTTCATTACACAATTGGAATCTCTTTTGTTTATAATTTTTATTTTATTTTAAATTATTTTTCCTGCTCTACATATCTGGGCATTTTTTTCATGCTCTACAATCTGGATCTATTTCCTTCTTTTATCCATGACAGTTATAACTTCTGGATGAACCTTAGGCTATTTGACTTAGTCTAGTGATTTTTAAAGGACCGCCTCAGCAGGGCATGGTGATGTCCACATGTAATTCTAGTACCTGTGAAGTGGATGCAGCACAATCAATAGTTCAAAGCCAGCCCGACAACATAGTGAGACCCTATGTATATAATAAATAAATAACTTTGTATTTTCTTCAAGCACAATTCTATATGACATCTTTTATTTTTCTACTTCTTTTGGTAGACTATACTGCTGTCCAGACTGGCAATAATTTGACAGAAGAAGTATCTGAAGAAAAAAAGAATACAGCATTTGAGCTTCAGAAGGACTTTTCCCAGAAAACAAACCTTTCCAAAACTTCTGTTGTAGACCAGCGACAGGAAGTCCAGTTAAGGGGTAGTGTGACAGAGAATATCAGTGCCACTGAGGGAAGAGTTAAGACCAGCTCCAGGGGAGGGTATTTCTGTAGCCAGACTCCAGATGTGTCCCAGAATCATACCAACTCCACTGGAGAACAGTATTCTGATACCAAACTTACTAAGAATGGAGAAATTCCTACAGAAGAAAGATCTTTGAATCCCGAAGAATTAGCAGAAACCTCTCAAGGTAGCTCTCAAGTTAGTGAGCATCCAGAAAGCAGCACTGTGGAGAAGCCTTACCAGTGTACAGAATGTGGCAAAGGCTTCATTGTTAAAGCAAAATTTGTTTGGCATCAAAGACTTCATAATGGAGAGAAACCTTTCAAGTGTGTGGAGTGTGGGAAATGCTTCAGCTATAGTTCGCACTATATCACACACCAGACGATCCACAGTGGAGAAAAGCCTTATCAGTGTAAGGTGTGTGGAAAAGCCTTCAGTGTTAACGGAAGCCTAGTCAGACACCAGAGGATACATACAGGAGAGAAGCCCTATCAGTGCCAGGAGTGTGGAACTGGCTTCGGCTGTAGTTCTGCATACATCACACACCAGAGAACCCACACTGGGGAGAAGCCTTACGAGTGTAGCGACTGTGGGAAAGCTTTCAATGTTAATGCAAAGTTAATTCAGCATCAAAGGATTCATACTGGAGAGAAGCCTTATGAGTGTAATGTGTGTGGGAAAGGCTTCAGGTGCAGCACCCAGCTTAGGCAGCATCAGAGTATACACACTGGAGAAAAACCACATCGCTGCAGTGAGTGTGGAAAAGGCTTCACTAAAAACGCAAAACTCATTCAGCATCAGAGAGTCCACACAGGTGAGAAGCCCTATGAGTGCAGCGAATGTGGAAAGACTTTTAGTGCTAAAGGGAAGTTAATCCAGCACCAGAGAATCCACACGGGCGAGAGACCTTATGAATGTAATGAGTGTGGGAAGTCCTTTCGGTGTAACTCCCAGCTTCGGCAGCATCTGAGAATCCATACTGGGGAGAAGCCATATAAGTGCAGTGAATGCGGAAAGGCCTTCAACGTTAATGCAAAACTCATGCAGCATCGGCGAACTCACACAGGGGAGAAACCTTTTGAGTGTAATGAATGTGGGAAGTGCTTTACTTCTAAAAGAAACCTGCTTGATCATCAGCGAACCCATACTGGAGAAAAGCCCTATCAGTGTAAGGAATGTGGCAAAGCTTTCAGTATCAATGCCAAGTTAACTAGGCATCAACAAATACATACCAGGGAGAAACCTTTCAAGTGCATGGAATGCGAGAAGGCGTTCAGCTGCAGTTCTGACTATATTGTGCACCAGAGAATCCACACTGGAGAGAAACCCTTCCAGTGCAGTGAGTGTGGGAAAGCCTTCCATGTCAACGCTCACTTAATTAGACACCAGAGGAGCCATACTGGGGAAAAGCCTTTCCGATGTGTCGAGTGTGGCAAAGGCTTCAGCCTTAGTTCTGACTGCATCATACACCAGACTGTGCATACTTGGAAGAAGCCTTATGTGTGTAATATATGTGGGAAAACTTTCAGGTTTAGTTTCCAGCTTAGTCAGCATCAAGATGTTCATAGTGAAGAAAAATCCTAATATATGAAGAAAACAGCACCAACCAACCAAACAAAACACTCCCGTGTTTAGTAGGAAATGATCATGGCTCATCAGTTATTACTTGGAATGAAACCATCAGAGGGGATGAATATGACAGTCTTCATTTGGAAACTTTTTTTTCTGTTTTACTCTATTTTTAATCAAGATTTATACGAGCAGCTGAAAGTTATATCTAAAATGACTTAGTTTTATATCAGTAACCAGTCAGGAAATACAATAAAAGAAAACATCCTATCCAACAGCATTAGGAAACGTAGATTTCTAGGAATAATTATTTTGTAGGACTAGAGGAAATTATTCTCCACTGAGGGAAACCAAAGAAAACAGGCAAAAGGGGTGGAGAGAAATTATTTCTGCTCTTGACAATAAGAGTGCATAACACTTCCCTTAAAAAGGGTGGGGTAAACATTTTTTAAAAATTGTTTGATAGAAGAAGTCTTAAAAAAATATCAGATTCAGGGACTGGAGAGATGGGTCAGCAGTTAAGAGCACTGGCTGCTCTTCCAAAGGTCCTAGTTCAATCCCCAGCAACCACATGGTGGCTCACAACCATCTATAGTAGGATCTGATGCCCTCTTCTGGCATGCAGGAATACATGCAGAGCACTCATACGTAAAATATAAATAAAAAAATATTTCTAAAAGAATCAGAACCAAAGTAGAGATGAACGATCAAAAAAAAATTGGCAAATGACTCATTCAAAAATAAACCCATGTGTTTTGTTGTAAATAATTCCAAATAAGTTTGAAATGTAAAGCATACACACAAAACTGGGAACGCCTTGTAAAATTTGTGATATAAAGTGTACTATCTAGTATTCAGCTTTTAACAAAAGATAACTTAAAAATCAACAGTGGCATTAATAGGCTGTGCTTCAAAATCATGTTCTAAAGAAGTGCTCTGCTTTAGTAGTACCCCAAGGAGTAAAAATTAGTGAAGACATTTTTTTGCATGTCACATTGAGCATATGATATGCATATCCCCCCGATACTATGCAGCCCTCAGTGATTATAGATGCTATATTCGCTATAGACGCCTGTCACACAAGCATAAAATATATTTAACAAAATAGCATGTTAGAGTTCCAGTTTTGTAGTGCCTGAACTCTATAAACATGGCTATGTCCTAAAGGTATGTATCTGCTTTGGATTTCAACTCTGTGGTCTTGGGTTCCATGAAAATGTTGGAATTCTTATGATACTCTTTGAAGTCTCTTACTCATTAAAAAAAATCTAAGCCATTAATAAGATCACTTAAGCTGCCAAGAAGACAAGAAACCGTATTTCTCCATGTTGTCAACTGTTAATGGGTAGCAAAGGAAATGTTTTTCTACTCAAAACACCCTTACTACCAAATATCCGGTTTCCACACCAGTTTGGTTGCCTGCAGACACCAACTGGACGGCCTCCAATTTATATCAGTTCACACACTACTCGTAGTACACATCCTGCTGGTGCAATGAGCTCAGTCTGAGAGGACTGCCTCTCACTCCCTCCTGCGTCTCCAGACACTGGTGATGAGTCCTACAGTTCTGACTTGGTTACAAACTGAACACCGTCAGGTTCACAATTTGCTGTAGTAGCTCACAGAACCTAGAGACAATCTGCAGTTACCATTTACAGAGTACGTGAACGTCACATGAACTACCACAGGAAGAGATACTTAGAGCAAGATCCGCAGGGTTCTCACGTGCAGGCGCTTTCACCCACGTAGAGTTGGGAGTGCCTCATCCCGCTGAGCCCCATTGTTAGGGCTTTTATGGCGATTCCAGTATGTACTCGTGATTGATGAAGTCCTTGACTGTTAGGAAGTTTTCCCTTTCAGAAGTCAACAGAGGTTGCTGAAAGTTCCAACTCTCTTAGCACATGGTCGGCCCCTTTGACAACTAGCCCCAGTCCTGGAGCTAGCTAGAAGTCTCGTAATAAGTCAGCTTAGCATAAAGCGATGACTTCAAGAGACTTACCTTAGGAGTAACAGAAGATGGCCCCTCAGTTCAACTAGAAAACCAAAGGTTTTAGAAGCTCTTGTGCTGGAAACTGGAGAGAGATCACACAAGCAGAAACCCATTTACTTGATTCATATTCCCCTATGCCCATATGGGGATTTTTGGTGGTTGTTTGTCTTTAGTTCAGCAGTAAGCAGGATAAAATGGAGACCCAGCAACATGGAAGCTATCAATTCTGTGAACACAAACATTAGGCAGTGCAGGGTGTCAGTGTTTTTCTTCCATACAGTAGTTCTTTGCAGAATGTCTTCATCTGGAAGTTGTGTAACAGCTAGTGCGATGGCTCAGCGGGTAAAGGCCAAGCCCGACCTGAGTTTCAATCTCCAGAACCCATGTGGTAGGAAGAACAGAACTCACGCACACAAGTTGTTCTCTGGTCTCTGTGCATGCATAAAAATAATTAAATTTTAAAAACTGAAATACCTATAATGAAATTAAGCATTTTGCTTGTTTGAAGTGTGCAATTCGTCTTTACAAATAAATCTAGAAAATTCAAAAGTTGTTGAGACTTGTTTTCTATAATGTGAGAGAATACATCAATTTTTTTTCTGAGACTATGGTTAGCCCGAGGAATTACCTGGGTTTAAATATCAAAGGGTTTGAGGAAAATCAGGTTCTAGTGGGATACTTACTCCTTAATTTGGACATAGGATTATAAGAAAATAAAGATGACATCCAAAATACTCTTAAGAAGTATAAGACTTAGTTAAAACAGTGCAGACAATTTTAGATAGCAGTGCAGACCTGGCCTTCACTAAGCTGAAGTAGCTTAGCAGGTTTTGGACTCTTGGGAGCAGTTTTCTACAGGGAAGAGAACAGTGGAAAAAGCAATACCTGACTTTCTATGATCTTGTGAGATTTTTTGAGGAAACTTAGTCCTAGTATTTCTTGCTTACACTGCACACTGGAATGGGCGTTTGATGTACTTTGCACCGGGTGGTGATAGCATACACCTTTAGTCCTAGCACTTGGACGGCTGAGGCAGTAACAGGCAGATCTCTGTGAGTTCAAGGCCAGCCTGGTCTACGAGCGAGTTGTAGGATGGCCAGGGCTACACAGAGAAATCCTGTCTTGAAAAACAAACAAAAATATACTTTGTAAAATTACTCTGGGGAGAGCTGAAAGTCTGAGTTGAGATGCAACATCTAATGTCTTAGGTAACGAATGTTTCAGACCAAGCCTCTGTTCTCATTGGTATAAAGAAAAAAAATCCATGTTGGTAAGCATAACATCATGAAAACATCTTTGTGTAGTCAGTGGGGCACACAGCATTCACAGCAGGTTCTCTTGTTTGGGTGCGGATCTTTCCGAGGGAATTACCGCCCTGTTGCTGTGAGGAGACACCACGACTAAGGTAACGTATTCTTTATTTTCTCTTTAGCGTTTAATTGAAGGCTTGCTTACAGTTTTACTGTGTTAGTCCATTATGGCGGGGAGTGGCAGCGTGCATGCGTGCTTTCAGTAATGCTTTCGGGGATTATATCCTGATTGCAGACGGAGAGACACTGGACCTGGAATGAGCCTTTGAAACCTCAGAGCCCAACCCCAGTGTCACATCTGATATAACAAGGGCACAGCTAATCTTTCTCAAACAGTTCACCAACTGTAGTCTGAGCTTACAAATATACGAACCAATGGGGCTCATTTTCACTCAAATCAGGATAACCAGCATTAAGAAATTGTATGGCATGTGTCTTTGGTAGCCTATTTAAATAAAGTAGAGAGCCCTTGGGACAAAATGGCATACTGGAAAAAGACAGCCTGGTGTTGCAGTCACTGTAGAATGGAGCAGGCTTGTGAGTCCACATGTGACCCCTGCCTGGGATGTCGCCAAATACAACTGTGAAGAGTTCTGGAGACTCCAGCCAGGATTGTCCCGTGGATTTCTGTTCCTGCCAGCAGCTGGAGAAAACTGGGGGTCCTGGGAAACGTCCCTTGTGCCTTGCTGGACTGTCTTCCTACCTGTGTAGAGAATGGTCCTCTGCAGTTCTGAGCAGACACAGTGGGTGTGCTTTAGGTACAAGGCTCGCTCTCTGCCTCAATCCAGAGCCACCAAGGGCAGCAGGATGCCTCCCTAGGTTTTTCTGCCCCAAGTAGGTTACCTTGCCTGCTCATCTAAAGGGAGAGTTCTGACCATGGGGAAGCTTCCAGCACGTTCAAATGCATGCATAGAAGGCTCACACTTGAACATCTCCATGGGTAGGTCTGGGGATAAGACACACATAACTAACAGAGAAGGTGTGTCCGGTGTGCTTTCTGTCTCACTTACAGTCACCTATCTGCACAGCACAGTCTGTTTTCACACCCCTGCACAAACAACCGGAACACCCTCACAGACGGAGGACCTGCCCAGAACATGCTTGCACACATGGCTACAAGCTGTGGGCACGGAGGGGACACTTTCCAGCAGAGGCAGCCTCCTCTCTTCCCCCTGGGGCTCTGCTGCTCAGTGGCCTTCTGCCCCGCACCCTTCTTTCATCCCTTCCTTAACCCTCAGGATCTAGGTGAAGATGGGGTTAGTGGGAGCAGAGTTACAAATTGTGTGATATGACCCCTAGAGAAACACAAAACTGTACCTATGAGGCAGATCTTAGGGATGACCCCACTTCTCCCACATCCATAGTCCTGGCCAGGCTCTCCTAGATAGCCCAAACCTGGCTCTACAGGAAATCCCTGTGGCCCATCACCTCATATCCAGGAAAGTTTAGACCACATGCTGTAGGGCACACACCTGCCTGATAGAGCAGAGGGCCCAGGGATGGGCTGCCAAGGTCACACGGAGAGTAAATTTGTCTGGGAGACATCTCATGAGAAATCAGAATCCTTAGAGAGTACCAATGCGGGGCAACCGTCCAGAGTTTGCAGCTAGGCTCTGTAGGGGAAGAGAGCTGTGTTTTTCTCGTCTGCCCTCTGTTCGAGTGTTTCAGTGCTCCGTGATGGAGGCTTGATAGGGTCATCACCCGCACTTCATTGAAACAGACACTTGGACTTAGGAGCTTGGAATCAAATATCAAGTAGACCCAGGCTTTAGGGCACCTGGGGGCAATGAGCAAGCGTGTAGGGCTCACTAATGAGAGCAGACTGCATCTGCCCCATCCATAGCTGAGCATCCCCCAAGAGGCAGACAAACCCTTCTGAAGAGACCAGATAACTGGAGATGTTGTCTTCTGGACTCTCATGAGGTTACAGGGGCCTGATGCTCAGGCCACCCTCGTGTGCCTCCCCTTCCCCCACCTTCTCTCTCCGTGAGCATCACCTCTCAACCTCTGTCCTTTCTCCTCCTTTACAGACCTTCCCCCTTGTTCTCTCAAACCTTCTTGGGAGTTCCCTCTCATCTCAGTCCCATCTCTGTGGTTTGACCTGTGTGCAGAGCTGACTCTGAGAGAGTCAGGGGCTGACAGGGACAGGCATCTCATCTTCCTGAGGCCAACAGGGTCCTAAGTGGATGATACTCCATTTTCTGTGGTGGCTGGTAGAATGTCCTGTATGTCGAAGGGTGGAGGGTAGGGGCATGGGACAAGAAGTCTCCCGTAAAGCAAATGGAAACTTCTTAGGGCCCACTCAGCCTGAACACTGACCAGGTGTTTATTCCAGATACCTGGGAGTGTCTTTGTTAAAAGCGAGACCTCCTTTCCCCAGCAGCCCTTTCTCGATTTTGTGACCTTCCCCATGATGTCTTCGGAGTTTTTCTGTGTTGAGATCTCATCTTAGCTATGGTTACTATTGCCGTGATGAAACACTATGGCCAAAAACAATTTGGGGAAGGAAAGGACTTATTCCATTTACACTTGCGGGTCACAGTCCATCACTGAGGGAAGTCGGGACAGGAACTCAAACAGGGCAGGACTCCAGAGACAGGAGCTGATGCAGAAGCCATGGAGGAGGGCTGCTTACTGGCTTGCTCCGTCTGCTTTCTTATAGAACTCAGGTCCACCACCCCAGGAGTGGCCCCACCCACAGCAGACTTGGTTCTCCCACATCAATCACTAGTTAAGAAAATGCCCTACAGACTTGCCTACAGCCTGGCCATATGGAAGCATTTTCTCAGTTGAGGCTCCCTCCTCTCAGATGACTCTAGCTTGTGTCAAGTTGTCATAAAACTGGCTAGGATAGATCTATGAAACAGGGCAAGCTGGTCAGGATAGAGACTAAGTCCCATTGACCTCTTATGGTCCAGGGCCCAGCTCAGGAGAGGATAACCCAATCTGGTCCTTAGCCAGCTTGCTTTCAGATAGAGATAAAGCTGTGGAATTCCCCGGGCTAGTTTATATGTCACACACAGTAGTTTCTCTAGAGTGTTGAATTTCCCAGCAAGAAGCCTTGCCCACAGTACCTAGTCAAGATCTTCTCTTTTGTCCCTGCCCTGCTCGATCAGCTACCACCAGGAAGGTACCCCAGCCACATCTGCCCTAGTCTGGGTGATGCCTTCCAATGACCGTGGGAGCCTCAGCCCCAGAGACTCTTGTTCCGACGCTGTAACATTTCTCATCTGGAGCTCTAGGCCCAGCTGGACATCTGTTACAATCTTTTCCCTTCAGTCTGGATCAGAACATCTGTCTCGGGGGTACAGGCTGCCCTCCCGCCCAAACGTGTCACCCTCAGAAAACACCTGGGCACAATGAGTCTGAGAAGGGCTTCTGGGAAGACAATGAATTCTCTCCACTTTTGTCTGTTGTTGTCTGGCCTGACCGGGAACCGAGGAGAGCATTCCGTTCTATTTCAGAATGTCTGCCAACCCCTTCCGCTTAGTCAAGAATCGGACAACGGGAGATGAGCCGGTCTTGGCCTTTTCGGGGAGAAGCATGCAGCCACAGGGTTGGGAAGTTCCCTGCTTCCTTTAGTCCCACACACTACAGATGAGGTGGCTCCCCACAGGTGGAGCACCTTCCAGGCCTCCTGGGGGCTCCCCGCGAAGGCCTGAACCAGAAGGGTAGGTGGGAATCATCAGCCTACTCTTTTGTTTGTGGAGATCAGGGCGCCACTTCCTGCTCCAGTTTCATCCACCACAGCAGGGCGGGTCTTCAAATGGCTGCCATGTTCCTGAGGTGCGGCTCCCACCCCTTTTCGGGCGCGGAAATCCCACCCACCCTCCGTCCAAGCCCAGCCTCCAGGAAGCCTTCCTCAACTGCACCAAGTGTCTCCTGCTGCGGCCCCCAGGTGCCCCCAGAGACTCGCAGCCAGTCACGGTAAGAAACTCTTCTGTCGACGACCCTGGCGTGTCCTCCAGCCTCTACCTCCCCACCCCAACACCCGGGCTGGGGCCGCCCATTCGTCACCAAGGCGGGAGCCTCCGAGGACTCTTCCCAGAGCAGGCGGGAGCTGCATGCACCAGCTGCACAGTTCCCGCCATTCCTGGAGGGCCTCGCGCAGGGCTGTACCGGCCTGCTGCTGGTGTCGTGGTGCAAGGGGACAGGGACATGAACCCTGTGTGGGGGTTTGGGTACCCTCCACGGGGAGGAGGGAGGGCACAGCAGCCATTAGGAATTGTCTTCCGCTTCTGC